TGAGATGTCACAGGAGCTTTGCCGCCATGTTGAGGGCCAGCACCCTCCCCGCCCTGTGCCCACCGCCATTTTGTGTGCTCGGCTGACAGGCACGGGATCCACCTCAGCGGAGGCACCCGCCGCTTGCGGCCAAGTGAAACGTCTCTTCAAACCAACACTTCAGTGTTCTGTATTTCACCTCTTCTGCACTGACACATCTCTCTGGCACAGATGAAGTTTACCCTCCCATAAGAGCACCCAAAGCCACCTTTCTTAAAAAAAAATAAATAAATAAAATAAAAATTATATTTAAATGCAGGAGAAGCTATGTGAAATAAGAACACTGCAAAGAAAGCACACTACATCACACCAGAGGCTTTCACATCAGCAGACCTTGTAATTTATCAGTGTGTTAACTATTCCTATTTCAGCCTGGTAGCCTGATCTACATGACTTGCGTGAATCCTGGGATGTGACACTACCAGGGAGTCAAAAAGCAGAGCTATTACCTGCATCTATTTCTATCTATATAAGGCAGAAAACATCAATCTACTGCTGGAATGGGAAGCGTGTCAAAATTAAACCAAGCCTTCCTCTTTATACAGTAAAAGGCACGTGCAAATTTCTGTTGTCTTAGCAGAAAGGCAAGAAAGAGGTAAGTTTCCTCTCCTGGAGTAAGGAGGATGTGCAACAGGTATTTCAATTTATTTTATTCATAACTTAAAATCCTCTCATACACACTGCCCATATTTGTTGAGCTGCGAAAGTCTTCTCCTTTTGCTAAAGAAAATTTTAACCAAATGCCTAAGCGACAGCAATCTTGTCTGAAATGCAAGAGACAAAGGCGATTCCTTCTCCCTCTGCCTCCGCTCCCTCCAAGCCCTTCCTGGGAACGTGGCCCCGCTGACTCCTCCAATACCTCCAGCTGTGACAAAGCACAAGCCCCTACGTAACATTTCAGGTGTGGAAGTCGGTTTCAGATAGGCAGGCTGATGCACAGGAGACTAAATGTTTCCAGAAGTCATGGTGCGTCCCGGCTGCTGCACAGGCAGCCAGTTCCTCGCCCATTACGCAGTGCATCAGCAAGGGCAGTTTTAACGAGCCAAATTACTCTGCGCATTCACAGCTTCCAAGCTGCCAGCTCACAGGGTGGCAGTTGGAGGCCTTTTTTTTTTTTTTTTTCCATTTATTTGTGAGAAGGTGATTCTTATGTTTTACCCATAAGCAGTGTACTAAATCATTAAGGATTTATTCCCTCTTACCAAGTTAACCAGCAGAGCAGTTTTAATTTCCTTTGACAAAACAGGGGCTATTCTTTGAGTGACTTGCTTCAGTTAATTTTCCATACAAAAATAAATCCTCCCTCATGGGACATTTTATCATACTAATGCTTAGAACTGTTTAAGTGATTAGAAATGTAAAAAGTGAGGAGACTTTTCTGAATACAAACGTTTACAATACAAACAACATTTGTGAACTGATAAAAATCCACATGTACACAAACACAGACTTCAATATTCAAATGCTCTGAATTCCTTTGAAGCTGTATTAACATCTTTCATCCATTCAATGTTAGTTTACCATTAGAGGAAGCAACAATAGTGCACTTAAAATATGACTATGAAGGTAGGAAGCAAAGTGCGATACCAGATAAACATTCCACCTTTCAGGAGCAAGCACTGCAGCTGCTCCTAAGAACTAGGACTGCACGTCTGATGAACACGCTTCTTAAGTGGACACCAGCTATATTGTAACTGACTGAGGCAGGAAACCTGCATCACAAACTGCAGTGAAGTTAATAGCAGTGGGTAGTCCTATAGACAGGGAAAAACATATTCCTTGCTTCCGTGGAGCTAAAGAGGAAGTTTCCAAAAGCTCAGCTATCACTGGACACCCTTTGGGATAATGGATGATAGAGATAAATTTCCTCCCTATAGATTATTCATCTGCTCTGAAGAGGACAGCAACAATTTAACTCTCACCATTACAGACCAATGCTAACAATCAAAGTCTTTTTTTTTTTTTTAAAAAAAGTGCATTTTCTATTGAACATTTGTTATTTTTTCCTTCGACTTGCCAACATCTCTCTCGTAGCTGTATTAGAAGCTGCACACCATCTGAGCAGCTCGGTGTTCTGGAGCAAATAAAACACGCTAATCACTTACCAACAGAGCACTGCGGCTCCGGCAGCTCTGCGGAGGCACACCACAGTCACTTATCTTCATCACACACTAAGTAGCCTTTTTTTTTTTTCTTCTTAACTTGCTTAAACTGACACTATGCAGAAATTAGAGAGTTCACTATAGTTACACCTATTCCAAGATTTCTGACAAGCGCACACAGTTCTATCGATGAAAAGGATTTTTAAATGGGAGGAAGTGCCAGCACAATGTAATTAATGCTTTTTGTATACACTGCATTATAAAATTTAGCACACAGTTTGAGTTGCTTTTGGAAATTTATGTATCATTCATATGTATAGTATACTTTTGAGTGGAATTAAATACCTGGGACAGGATCAACTTTGTCATGTTGCTAGTTTTGCCTGTTCTAACCTTTCCAGTAACCTTGAACTAGCATGGTAAGAACCTCACATGAGCTTAAATCTTAAGACTTTTATGGAATCACAAATTACAGAGAACTTTCAATAACCCACAGTTACAGCAGATATTCATCTCAGTGCATTTCCTAATAACTAATTTACAGGTAACAGAGCCAGCCTGGGCAGCAGTATGGTAATATTGAAAGCTATTGCCAATCACACACTTGCTTATCATGCACTGAATAAGATGATATAATCTTTGACATACATACAAGATTTAATAACTAATCACTTTGTGTGGCCCAGCCAATAAACATTACATTTGAACAGTAATTTCTTCTACCCTTATTAGATTTTAACCTATCAAGAGTGATCCATTGGCTCAGTTGCATTAGTGATTTCTGCATCTTGACTATCCATCTCCTCAAGCTCCTCAACAGAATTTCCCTTTTGTGCTTTAGACCTCGCAGGGAATGCTGTTCCCACAGAATTCACCATGTTACCAGCAGTTGATTCGGTGTTCAAGTGTTCAGTGCCACTCGGTGCAGGAAACGATTCGGACAACCCAGCCTGAAAGCTCCCAGTTTTAGCAGTGGAACTCGCTGCCTCTGCTTTCCTTTGAGATAGCCCGACTGAAGCTGACTGCTCTGTACTCTGATCCCGCAAATGTCTATCCATTGAAGCCTGAATAGAAGAGACCATTTCCTGCAACTTTTTTCTCTGTGCCTCAATCAAAGTGGGGTCAAGCTGCCTGCTGTCTCTCATCGTCACGACTCCAGGAGCTATTCGGATAAGCTCACTGTTACCAGAAGCCGCTGTGAACAGAGAAGGCTCAGCTTTAGCAGAAGGACTGAAGTCCGTTTCTGTGCTATGCTTCCTTAAAAGTGGTGTTTCCCTGACTCTTTGATCGTGTTGTTGACTACCAGATGCAGTTCCCAGGGAATGGCCCTTCCCTTGAAATGCTGTTACGTTATGCAGTTGTTCAGATTTCTTTTTTACTACTCCTCCGCTCCCCAGTTTAAGCATTCCATGAGAAGGGCTGGCTTCCCTGCTCCTTGAAGCAGCTTCTGCTCGTACTTGACTTAAGGCCTCTTTAACCAAGTCTTCAACGTCAGGACCAATAGGGAAGTGCCCAGCAGCATCCACACACAGCTCCAATCTATCTTCGGCTGCATTGTACACAAAGTTTTTACCAGGCAGATGGGGAAAAGTACAGTGCTTGCCATCAGCCAGACCTAGAAAGATGGAGAAAGGCATTCAAAGAAGTTAGTCAAAAGGCCAATGTATTTCAAGACACGCTCAGAATACACAATAATTATTGTCTTTAAATGAACTGTGTCAAATTTGTAGAAACCAAAACAGTGAAACTTTTAGCAATGCAATAAAATAAAATAAAATAAAATCAGGCTTGTATACCATATGTCTTCAATTCAGTACACTCTAAGGATTTCTGCCTTCTATGGCAAGTCTAAAGAACACACAGTAATGCAGCTAAAACACCCACCTTGGTTGGACTTGCAGTTCTAGCACAACAGAAGTCAAAGAAACAGTCTGTGCTTGCAGTAAGCCAAAGGTGGCCAATGCTGCTGCCCCCTGCCCCAGCCAAAAACAACCCCACAGAGTTGAGCTCATTTGAAACGAGTACATTCAAATCACAACATATCTGGAGATGTTTAATATCACTTCCACACTGATTAGAATTGTAGGTGGATTTTAGTGTGTTTTTAGTTGGATTTTAGTCTTCATCAGACCTAAAAATTTTCAAAGTTGTTATTTATCTTCTTCTGAGGGAGAAAACATTGCTGCAGAAACAAAACAGCATTTCAAGCTTACATATAAATATATATTAACAATATTAAATATTAAACTTGAAAAATGAACATAATGCATAATATTTTTGATCTGCTGTTTGTCTCATTGTCCCAGTTATGATTTGACAGATCTTCTAAAATTGAGTCTGCTGGACAAATCTAAGTTCTAAAGCTATTCTCTATCAAAAAGAAGCATCATCTGGCTTTCCAGTTTATTGTAGTGAAATACAAAATAACTCTTTCAACTCTGTCCCATGCAGGCTGTGCTATAAGCAGTAAGGAATCACTGGAGTGGTAAAAGCCTTCTGGGAGTTAAAAGCTGGATGCGGATAATAAACACTTGGCTGCAACAACTCTTTTCAGTTGTAGCAGCTAAGCAATAAGAGCTAAAAGAAAGAAAGAAACAAACAAACAAAAAATCTCTACAAAAGTGCCAAGAATAGGCAAATTCATGGGGTTTCCTCACATACTCTCAGAATTCTCGAGGAAAAATAAGGGCAATTAAACTGAATGGAAAAAAAAACACATCAATCAAGGACTGTTTCTGTGTTATCAAATAAAACTGAATCAAAACAAATATTCTGAATATCAGCAAAGAGCTCATTTAGATAATCTTAAATGTTATTAAGCAGCTTTTAAGTCGTCAATCTGACTCATCTTCTATAGCTGCTGCTTCACACACCTCTATAGCTGCAGAAAATCTACAGATGAGATTTGCTTTATTCTTCACAAGAACTTCAGACATTCAGCTGCTCTTTTTTTTTTCCTATATATGCATGGAACCAACCAGCTAAAATATATTAGAGTAAAATTTAACCCCACTTTTCTGTCTATCCAATCCTGAAGAACTGAGTTCTGATTACAAAATTTACTAACTTGAATTTCTTCTGTAAAAGCCAGAGCTTTTATGACAGACTAATATTGCCTTTGAAAATGCAATTCTGAAATTCTGAAATCTCAAACAAGATCTACCGCATCTATTTTCAAATGATTAACAGTGCCTGGATAGAAGGTTTTGCTCCACACACCTAACATATTTGCATTATGATATGAACTAAAATAATACAAATATATAAGGATTTTCTTTAACTGGAAAGAAAAACAAACAAACATACAAAAAAGCATTAGTTACATCATTGCACCCTGTAACTGTTGGACATGGAAATTTAATTCCATATCATTCCAATTTCAAACCACATAAATACATTAATGCTGAAATTCTAATTCTACCTACCAAGACACGCATTATGTAAAGATTGTGCACATAAAGAAATGCAGTAAAGTTCAAACATAAAAGGTTATCTCCTTTTGCCAACTGACAACATAAAACTGAGGTCATGACCTCAGTTTTATGTTGTCAGTTGGCAAAAGTGACTTTCAAGCCAGGCATTTTCTGTGAGTTCATGTCCAGCTGGACTAAAATCTCTTGGATTCATTTCAGGCTCTCAGCTCCAGCTGGTCAGTAATCAGTCCAAAATGTCCTTTCCACCAGGCACTGCTTAAGCTAATTCACTTCCCACAAAAAAAAAAAAAAAAAAAAAAACACACTAGTCTTTACTGGACAAGGTTAATAAATGAAAGAAAGCTGCAAGGAAACAGATCTTCTATTTGCAGGACAATTCTATTACCCAAGATGACAATCCAGAGACAATCAGTGGTCATCTACATATTTTAATTATTAATATAATTTATGCTACAGAAGGACACTGGATTGCAAACAGAATGCAAATGGTGTGATAAAATGCTCATTTTGAGAAAAATACCAAGGTTAAACTAAAATTGATAAATCTACCTAAAATGAAGTCAAATAGTAAAAAATCAACGGAGTAAGCATTATAGAAAAAGCCACAAGAGCTAAGCTAGGAATGCAAACATTTCAATGAAAATTAAAAATAAAAAGAGAGACAGAAAACTGAATAGTTTCCTCTCTAAGGAAACCTGCTATTATTTCTTTGTAGATAATTTTTAAAGTAGTCTGAAAATCAAATATATTTTAACTGCTTGCTTGACTATGCAGCAGGTAGTCTGAGACTAGGCATTCATTAAAATAAGACAGAGCTGGGCAACAATTGCTTTTGAACAACAATCTTGGGTATATCAAAATAAATTTAACCAACCCTTTATACTTAAAACACACAGTACCCTAGTATAATATACCTACTAATAAGCACTAGATGCATGAACTTCAGTTTGATGTTGTAAAGTAAACATATAACCAGAAGGTCCTATGATTTTCACTCTCTTTGACCTTCTCAGTAAAAAAAAAAGAAAGTTTATTTGACTTATTGAAGCTGTTTGTATAGGTCAGAAGTTTAAATGGAGATACATAGCTTTAGAAGGTATTTCAGAAACAAAATATTTAAGATCTAATCAATTAGTTCGATTCACTAGCCCCAGAGGAGGCCCTCAGAGAGCATAAGGAGCTGAATAGTATTATGAAAATGAAAAATATATCATGGTAATAAAATTAGATATTTATGGTTGTCATAGGAGTGACTCAGCACTGATTTATAATTTTAAAGACTCAAAAACGTACATGAAAGAAAAAAAAATACCTGTGGTTTTCTTCATTATGCTGTAGAACACTCCACCTTGCTGAAACAACTGAGGAAGCCCCTTTGCATAAGACCAAACATCTTCTCCTGTAAAAATCAAACACAAGCATTAAACAGTCCTAGCTTAACATTATAAATGACATCTGAAAGTGTAATTCCTTAAAATAAAAGCTGAATTCTCACTGTCTTACATGGACTTAAGAATTTAAATTTGTATTGAAAAATTAATGGAACAGGAGCCCAAGCCTTTGGGAAGCCTCCTGCAGAGCATATCCCAGCCTGTGGTCACATATCGCAGATGTTTTAGTACAAAGGTTCCCCAATCCGACTTGCTCCAAGCTGCAGCTCCTGCTTCTTTGCCAGGCTGCACACACAAGTTTCCTCTTCATGTCTCTGAAGACAGCTAGCCCATGGCTCAGACTGCTGCCTATGCTGCCAACTGCTAGAATCACTGTAGGTCGTGCATCTAGACTATGTGAAGAACAGCAGAAACCTGGGGTTATAATGACAGGATGTAAACGACCTAACCGAGCACCTGCCAAATAAGTCAAGATACCCCTTTTTATGCCTCTTACCTGCTTCATGGAAATGACATGCGATATAGCTGACAAAGTGCTGTGGAAAAAAACACTAGTAGTTCCAATCTTATACAAAAATAATTACTGGGCATGTGAGCTGTCCCAAAAAGCTGTTTTTCCCTCTCTCTATCCAACATTCAGGAGAAATATTATGAGACTTTAAACAGAAATTGTACCCTTATATAGACATTATATCTCTACAGACCTCTCTTCCAATAAATCATCAACTAAAAAAAAAAAAAAAAGGTTAACTGGCTGCATTTACTACTTATAGAGATAACTGTAATGTATGAGTATTATTTGCTACCTGCAAGAGCAAAATTTAAGTTAACAGTTACTTTTAACAGCATCCACAGAGTGAATATCCCGCGCACCCAAGGCCCTGCTTGCATTTCCTTGCTGCCCATTCCATGAGGTACCTGCAGCTCCTGCCCATGCCAGGGAGCTCTGTGCTCACTACCTCGTGCTCCAGAAGCCCTTCCAGCCCCAACGCAGCGTTCTCAGCAGGCAAAGGCCCCTGCGGACGCTCTGACCCCCATGTCCCCTGCTCTGTCTGCTGCCCTCTCCTCTTCCATCAGAAGTCCCAGCTTTCTTCAAATCTCTATAAAGCTCCTTTGACAACTTTTGCCTCCCAGTTTTCCATTCCTATTATTCTCAGCAGCTCTTTTCGCTCTGGGAGAGGAGCAGCTCAGGGCAGATCTTTTACAACAGATGCTATTAATGGCAGCAAGTCCTTTTTTTCATATATAGTCAACCACAGAGATGATGTGTACAGTGAAGGTGATCTAAGCAACGCACACAAAAAATGACCTGTAAGGGCTCTGCATCCCTCCTTCCTACACTGCCTTCCCCCGCTTTCTATGACTTTCATTCCAGTAAATGCCCACAAACCTCTGAAATGGTTCCAAAAAGTAGAAACGATTACACGAACTTCAGAAGACTGCCAAAAAGCTGAGTTTAGAGATTTGCCAAATTAAAAGGCTTACATCAGAATACCTTTTCTTTCATTCTTTCTTTTTAAAATAGTGAGTTAGGTCCTTTTAAAACCATAAAATAACAATACAGAAGATAGCCCATAGGCAGTTCCTACAGTCAAAATCCACTTCTTGACTTGTACAGGAGCAAACAACTCATGCAGCTGGCTAAGAGGTGAGGTGGTGAAGCAGAGCAGAGAATCAGCTAAGGGAAAGCAAGGGGGCAGGAGACTCAGCACTAAGAACTTGAACTCTCAGTGCACCTTTACAAAAAAAAAGCACCAATAATCAGGCATTTTACACTGGTAAAGTGCAACAATGACTCTTCATATATATAATAAATATATATGTGTGTACATATAATTGTGTAACTAATTCTGCTGTTTAACATTTTAAGTCCTATCACATACCCTAAATCTCCATGATCATAGTTCATTTTCTTCTGTGAGAAAAATCTTCTAGGTTTCACTTCTGGTTTTTCACCAAGTTCTATCCAGTTTCGTTTTCTTCTGCCTACACACTGGGTGCAACCCTACCTAAGCTGATATTATCAGGAGGCCTTTATGACTTTATGCTTTTCCCATTATTAATACATAGCCTAAAAATACTCATTTTGCTATTAGAATAAATAGGATTTTACTATTTTTAAAGGTCTAAATTGCATACAAAATAAAATATCTTAACAGTGTTCAACCATTAGTGTTATCAACATTGTAAGATGTATAGTTTATTTACAGTAAGGCAGGGCACAAAAAAAATTCTCCATCAACTTGGCCCATATAAGAAGTTATTAAATCCAGATTAAATAGACTGCTGCCCTCATGCCTTACTACAGCTTAAAGTAGACAAGTGCCATACAATTATTTTAACAATTATATATTAACAAAGTTACATTAATTATTTTAAGTTACTTTTAATTATTTTCATTATCATGCATTTGTCTGAACAGTGGGAAGGAAAAATATATTGATTCACTTCTCTGGCATTGTTGTCTACACAAGTTACAACTAAAGAGCGAGGCACCACATCCCTTAGGAAACAGTTAAAAACTATACACCTCTTTTACAGAAATACCTCTTGACTTCTTTTTTTTTTCCCCCTTTTTAATATTTTTTTTCCTTTTCTCTAGGGAGCAATGCATCATTGATTTTGCCTTCAGACATTCTAGGAGAGGAGACCTACATGATCTGCTGCACTTCAGCGTTACCCATTAAAGCAGATACTTTCTGGTTCATTCCATTCCCTGACACACATCATTCACACAACTGGCCAAGCACCAGAGTGACAGACTGTTGTGTCCAACCAAGTCCCACCTTCTAGGGAGAACACCCAGATAACAAACCAGCTACTACTCTTCCTCTTCTCCCATGACCTCCTGAAGAAGGAAGTCTTACCTTTTGACTTCACCCTCACCATCTCCCTCTAGTTAGAAGCTCCTCTCCAACTCTCTAGAAGCTCCTCTCCAACTCTCACTGGCCCCACTTGGGCTCCCTGATGTTTTAATCATGTCCACATGAATCCAGGTAACTGATACACTAATTCCAGAATCCTAGAGCGTTGCATTTAAGAGTCCATTTGTATTCAAAGGGTTCTCTTCCCTCCCACAGGAGGGGCACCAGGTTTAGAAAAATGTCATTTCACAGATTAATGGCATTCTCCATGGAAAGATTCCCTGTTTGCTCCAGGCAGGATGTTTCAAGCCCTGCACCAGAGCAGGATCCTTGTTTAGACAGCCTTTTGTGTGACACTAACAAGGACGACATGGTAACAGAAAAGTGTGGAGAGAAGGGCTTACAAAACAAAAGCATCAGCCGCTGGAAGAAACACAGACTAGGCAGTTTTGATAAGGAGCTCTCAGACTGGGCCACCACAGGAAAAACAGCTACAGCGGGACATTCCCAGGTGGGAGCAGCTAGTGTGCGAGATTCAACTAAACTGTCCTTGAAACTTTGCATTTTTGTTCTCCCTTGAGTTTTATTGTATGTTTCATTTTCCAAGGATGGAAATAAGGCGTTTACAGGTCACAAGTCAACTGACATGATTATCTAGTCAGATTATATGTAGTGCCAGATTATATGCAGTACTATCAATTAATACATTTAAATGCGGCTATTTTGATATCAGTTGCACTGACAAATTCACTGATGCAAAATGATCTCAAAGCAGGTCCATACTTGGTTTACAAGTAGCCAAAGTGGGGTTTTTTTGCATAGATGTAATTAAGTCAGTTTAAAAAAAAAAGTTATAAGTACACTAATGTAAGTTATTTTTTAAACATTTCCTTATATAAGCCTGTATTTAGAGGAAAAAAAATAATGGGAGAAAACTTTCATAAAAGTTTCACATAATCAATAAGCAGCCAGAGATTACAGTACCTGATTCCACAAGGCTTAAGTTATATATATAAAAATTGAAGACCATGGTATCATGTCACTGAGAAAAAGAGAAATTCTAGAAGAGAGAAATTCTATTAAGTGAAATACGAAAAGAGAGTAAGTTCAATCTGCGGGAGCCCCTCTGTGAAAGAGAGGCTTTCAAGAGGCTTCCCAAATGAGCAGCTATAGATCTTCCAAAACAAACTGCCACTATGCTTATAAAAAAAAAAATCGTCTGGTCCAGAGAGCATCTTTCCTCCACATGTTCTAGTACTGTTAACAGAACATATAAAGCTACAGCAAGTGCATGCAGGATAAAAGCCAGGCAGACTCTCAAAACTTTGCAAATCTGTGCTTTAATGGTATGGAAATATAGTTAAGAAACCTTTTTTTTTTTTTTCCAGGGCTAAACATACCACTTTGAGGTAGCCTCATCTCTTAAAATTCTTCCATTTTCAACAGCCTCCAGAGAAACTGCAAAGATTTACTAAGTTTCTTACAAGTTATTTCTCCACTGAAAAATAACAACTGCAAGTAGTCAATGTCTAGAGTTTTTTCCTCAGGTATCTTTGAAGGACAATATAGCCCTGATGAGAAAAGCAACTGCATAAAATAGCATCTTATTCTGTAGCTGCGTAAGTTGTTTTAACTGGTTGGTTTAGCCACTGCTTCCACTTTTACTTCTATTAGTAATGCAAAACACAACACGTACAGTCAGAGAAGGGTGAGGTAAATTATCTTCTAACCTGTGCTTCAAAAGCAGTGCCTCATAACAATGAGAGTCAAAACAAAAACTGATTCTTGAATATTGGATGAGCTCAGGATTTATAAGTACTTGAAAACCTTAGAAACTTTCATGCTGAAGTCACCAAAATACTATTAAAGTATTTCATTTTTTTGTATGATTGTTTTTTTAAGATAGTAAACATATTTCAAGAATAGTCCTGAAAACAGAAAACAGGAAAATACTCTATTAGTCTTCATCTGAAAATTAAGACAGCTTTTGAACTGAACCTTTCCCTGAACTTTTGGACTGCAGCATAAATGCCAGTATGATGAGGTGGCCAGTGCTTCAGTGTGCTATCTTCCAAGAGATATGGGAGTAAAAAATCAGGTCTGGAAAAAAATCCAAGTTCTGCATTATGAACCTCTGGCAAATCATTCTGCAATTATGTAATTGCTGTGTTTCTAAAAATCACGTGCTTTATCCATACCAAATCCCTCAAGCAAAACTGAGAACCCCCACAAAAAAACTCTAAGCATTACCATTTGACTTGCTCATAGAGCTAGATACGAACGTATCATATCAATTAGCTCTGTCATAATTAGTGTCCTGCCTCCTCTGAGTAAGCAGTAAGAATTGTGAAACTTAATGACTATGAGAAGATGATTTCAGGGTAGCACACTGATAAATTCTAGGAAACAAACAAACAAAAGCAAAGGAAAAGCTATTGTTTGTCACCAGATTAATGCATTTAGTTATCCAAAGACCCTGGAGCACAAATGTACCCCCATTCAAATATGAAAATAAAAAAGCAAAGGCAAAACACAAAGCAGCTGGGAAAAGCACCTTCTTGAACTATTAACAACATTTCAGATTTACATGACTGACCACTGACAATCTGTGTTATGCCTGGGATACAAATATGTTGTAGCTTCTTTCAGTTTCTCCTCTGCGCGTATCCTAAAATACACCTCTTCACAGTGTCTTAAAGAGACCTGATCTTTGCTGAGACCTGGTGAGAAGGTGGTGCCCTTCTCACGCCCGCGCTGAAGGGATGTCCTCTAACTTGAGGGACAGGCAGAAAGAGAGGGAGCTATAGCTCACACACCAGATGTGAGCTTGATGTAAGGCTGCAGGAACAAATAATGAACAAATAATGAACAGAGAGGGAAGAGGTTGATGCAAAAACTCCTGAGAAAAATTATTAAAGAACACAGAAATGAAAGAACAAAAATTTCATATGCACATTTAAAAAGGCACAAATACAACAAAGGGCTGGTAGTTTGTTGCTTGCTCTAACAGAGGAATATTGAAGCTAATCTTTGCTGTGTTTAAGGCAAAGATATAAGATGTACATAATTAATTTTTTAAGATGGTATCTTCTACTTAAAATACACAATTTGAAAATACAGTGCAAAGTTATCCTTACCCATCAGTGTTGCCAGAAGACACAGAGAATACATCTCCTTATCAACTTGCTCTTGCAGTTCCTTCGATGAGATTTTACTGGTCACAGCAGCATCGTCGTGTTTCGCAGCATGGGCTGAGTGCGTGGACGTGGCCTGGCTGCCCTCTTCTTTACCTTTCAGGATTTCTATAGCAATTCTGTCACCGTGCTGCAAAGGCACAGGTTCATTTTCCATGCCTTCTTTGGGGGGCAGAAGCTCTTTCGGAGGAAAGCCATAGCGAATGCACTGCAAATATGGAGGAATGTTAAATTCTCTAGCTATGCTTTCCTGTAGTTCCAAGTATGTGGTCGTGCACTTTAGGGTAAGCATTGACTGCCTCCCATCATTTGTCGTTATCCGAATTTTCTTTTCCTTTGTCGAAGTTGGAGAATAAGGGGTCTTTGTCGGGGTAGCAGGGGCAGACGATGGCCCATCTCGCCCGGCCCCCGGAGAAACAGTCCTAGGTTGCCCCTTGTGATCTTGTTTTAATTTTTCACTTTTCCGTTTCTGCATTACAGAAGCCTGGTCTGCTATGTTCTGCTGAATAGTTCTTTCAGTTTTACTCATATTTAACTCCTCCTTGTGCAAAGTTTTTGTCTTCTGCCCAGTGAGAATAATTTTGGTTGGCAGCTGCGCCTCCAGCTCTTGCCCTTGCTGCACATCACCGGCTCGCTGCGCATGGGCACCATCGATGTTTACAGGGGTGTAATCATCGGGGTTCTTTTTGGCAGTTTGGTGCAATATTGTATTGACAACTTTCTGAACGAGAATCTCGCTACCAAACTCCCCTGGGAAGTGCTTGGTCACAAGTTTCATTGCAACGTCGTACACGTTGCTGTTCAGCGACGCATCGCTCTCGTACTGAAACCAATAGACCGTCTCTCTCACCACTCTTCCACTCCACTCCAGAGTTATGGGAAAAGCTTCAGGGAGATTATCGTACTCTTTACCTTCCCAGTAGTGTTTGAACCCACAGCCACATTTGCCACCTGTAGATCTCGTGTTAGTTCTGTCTCCATCCAAATATAAGACAGATCCGTCTTCTCTGACACGACGCACCAAGTTACCGTGACACCAGTTACAAGCAGTCAAGCTGCTCAGGCTGTAGTCTGGCACCAGCACATCCTTTGCGGGGTTGTAGGAGCACACCAGGCTGTTCAAAGGAAAACTGTAGTTTTTGTCAGGCCTTAGCTGACCGTGGGTACTTTTTGCCAGATTGTAGAGTTTTCCGCCAGGGGCCAGCCACTCTGGAGGGACATGGTGCTCTGACAAAGCGCCGCAGATGAGACACCTATGCAGGCGGTTGTCCACCACCGCCTTCTTGGCGGCCGCAGTTACTTCTTCGGGTTGAACTCCTATCACACCAGTCCTTCTGTAGAAATACTGATGCACATCGGCCACGAGACTGGGGTGAATGCCATGTTTGCTCATGAAAACCTCCTCCATTGCAGCAACAAGCCTCATCAGGTACTTGTCTTGCAGGCTTCTGTCTCCTCCAATAACACATCCACCGTCGTCTTCTAACTTGATGTACTTTTTGATGAGGTCCTGAGGGACTCCCCAGGCTTTAGGGAGCAGCTTCCTAGGCAGTTTTGGTAAAGCAGCACCTTTTATTCCAACTAGGGGAATATAATGGTTTCGTCCTGAGCTACTCCACGCAATGCAGATGGGTTTGTTCAGCATGCCGTCCTTCCCCATGCATTTTTCGAGGGGTATCAGCCCAGGAAGGAATGTCGCGGAATAATCTCCGGAGCTCCGCATGCCGCTCAGCGAATCTAGCAGGATGATGGGGCGGTGGAGCACGTTGGCCAGCCCAAAGATGTGAATGTTTCTCAGGCCCATTGGCACCCCTTCTGGGGGAACAAACAAGGGGTCGCATTCATTGATGATGTCCTCCCACTCCGCTGCATCAATAAAATCATGGAAGAGGGCCTTGTAGTGACTCAGATTCTCCTCAAAATGCTTCTTCAGGTTCTCTCGCAGAGCGTGCCAGAAGAGCTCACGGCCGACGAGTGCCCGTGAGACCGCGTGCACCAAGCAGTGGCCGTCGCCATCCACATGCACAGGAATGAGGCACTCCTGGCTGTTGTTGGCCTTCTTGATGTCCTCCAGGGTGTCGTGCAGGTAGATGAGGCTGCCAGAGCGGTCCTTGCCGTACCCGATGGTTTCCACATGCTCAGGCTCAATGAGGAAGGCGCGGTCGCCCAGGAGGGAGCAGTCAAAGATGTCACCCTGGTTCATCTCAGTGAGGAGCTTGGCTTTGCCTGTCTGCTTATCCATGCCGTAGCGGGCCAGGATGGGCGCCAGCAGCTTGCAGTGGTAGTTGGAGAGGCCCATGACTTTGACGAGCTCGGTGCTCCTGCGGGGGGGCCCGGCGCCGCTCACGCCGCGCAG